AAAGTATCCATAATCAATCAATCAGGTGCCGTCTCCACAATGAAGGTTAGCTGCAATGGATCTCCAACAAGCCCTGTCTCTTGCCCTTGATGTATACTCACTCATACCGCTGTTCGTCCATCTCTTGATGTTATCCTCCCACTCGTAACGCTATCTGCCTTTTGCTCGCCTACCTTGAACCTTTCCCTCTAGGATGATCTTTACAATACTGTTATGACCTTTTATGTTGCAAAATATTTCACTTGTCTCTTTTTTATTTCACCTAGCAACTCTCTTTTCATTCCCAATTTCCTCGGTACCTCTGTATTTGATAGCTTTTGTTTCCATGAAATACGACCTTATCTTCTGTATAGCTGAAGCGAAAAAATGCACATCTCAACCCAGTCATAGCAGTGCAAGTCTTGTTCTCCATGGTCCATGCCACCTGGTGTTAGACATGTCAACCCACAACCTTCTGTCTTGTGTACTTTCAATCAGTTTTGAGATGTGTTCTTCCAAGCTGTCAGACAGTCCAGCATCTCCTCTCTCAAAAAGATATAACTTTCCCACTATCAGGGTGTCCTCCAGTTCTAACCTTCTCATGACATGAGCAAAGAATTGAGATTGTCTCCTTTTAATGTGGGTAATCAGTTCTCTTCGCTGTGCAGTTTCTTTTAAAACCAAAGCTAGTCACCGCCACAATTGGCTTTAAAATGACCGAACCGATCATAACATTTAACAAATTACTATCGCAACGTCAGATAAGCAATGTTGGCGCACACGTCACAAAAGGTACTCACCCAGAGTCAGCTTGGCCGGCGACTCTGGAGGGACCCAGAAAATGACCATGGTCAGCAGGGACAGAAGGACACATGGCATGATGAGGATGAACGTGTAGAAAGCTACCCGCCGCCGCATGCGCAGCTTAAACTTGAGGTCAATATACGGCTCTGGGCAGCAAGTGTACTTTTTGATGTTTCTGATACCTGCATGAGTAGACATGTTAGAAGTGAAACACATTTCAATCGATGACCATTCATTCATTCATTCATTCATTCATTCATTTATTCATTCATTCACTTATTCATTCATTCATTAATCTCCATAACATGGCTGTGTAAATCATACGTTAGCGATCACTACTCCACTTTACTTGTGTCATATAGTCTCGTCGCCCAGCTACCGAGTTGAGTGCACGGCGCGACACTGTGAGCTTCAGATTTCATTGGAATGCTTTTCGACTATGCCCAATTGTTTTGGTTTTTTTTTAATTGTGAACTGCAAATTCAAAAAATGGCGTGCAACTGCTGATCTGTTGTTAGTGCTGCTTTCATCGACAAGAAATTGCATTTCCAGTGTGGGTCTGTTTGTGTTGCTACTCTTACTGTTGCCTTATACAATTAATGCACGTGTATGCCTTTGAATTTGCTAAATTTGCAGCTGTGTTTTCTCTCCCCCCCCCCCCCCCTTCCTCACCATTTCTCCTCACAAGAGACAACAGCGATGGACAGTCTGTGTGATTTTCTTTGGATTAATTTATGTGAAATCTTCTATTCTTTGCCTTCTTTGCCTTCTCCGGCAGGAGGTTACTTGTCCACTTCGGACTTTAGTCTTGTTCCATAACCTGAGGTTTTCATGCACATCCGTTTTACAGATCTAGTTTATTTGTATGTCATACTGTTGTTTCCGTGCCTCTTAGGCAGATGCACATCGACTTTAAAAAAATGCCTAATTAGCAGATTCTTGCGACATGTTCAGGAGGCAGGGTCCCCCCTCCCCTCCCTCCCCTCTTCAACGTCCCCTCCGTTCGGTCATGAAACGCACAAAGGTATAAACACATACTTAAAATCGAGCGTCTATACATGGTTAGTTGGGCCACATCTCCCTTGCACACTGTCCAAGATAAGAGTGGTGGACTGCTAAGCACCTTAAAGGTTATCATACAGGATCTCTGCACTCAGGTTCTTGCGCCCGGTTTCAGTTCATATTTGACCTCTGGTGACCCCCATTATAACGTGATCACCAGACTCGTAACGTGACTCATTAAATTAATTGTTTGGCGAGATTGGCATCCGCTGATTCTGCTTCCCTGGCCATTCTTATGACAACTGATCAGCAGATATTTGAGAGGACCGCTCCAGGGTTATATATCGTACTGTCGATCCACCTATGTCGTTCATGCCAATCTATTCCCAGTCCATTAATATATGATGAGAAATATTACCCGTTGTATTGCAGGCTTTAAGCCAGTATCGGGTGAATGTGGTATTGTGAAATATTTCGGGTGGATGAATAATGATATGATGTGTGCATAGCTTTCTGTTTTGTGTTTGCACAACGTTCTATTTTATTTTGCTTAGTTACTGTTTTCCCCCCTCAAATATCCAGAAACCAAGAGTTCTTAACCCTTTTGTTCGGTACTATGGATATCGTAACCCTTCGGTCTTAATTCCATGATAAATACCGTAAATCTGGGAGATGTGTGGCTTTTCTGCCTACCCCCGGGCGTGAATCCGGACCACAAGGAGCTCGTCACCCGGTCCTCGCAAAGTCAGGTTTTGTCAACTACGCTAGCGAGCGGGGCAGTTACTGGGTTGAAATCATCTGTTGTTGAGGGAAACATCACATCCATATTAGGTTTAATAAAGAAACAGCCTTCAGGTGGTCCTTTATAGAGCGTCGCCCTCGTCATGGAACGCCGGGAAGTCTTTCTTTGTCTAGCCAACATCCAGCCCTTGGCGGAGTTCTGCCTC